TTTTTTTTTTTTTTTGCCTTGCTGCAGGCTTGTCAATTTCTTCGGATAATAACTTTCTATTCAACCCAGCTGCCTGGTCCAAACTATCATTGCCGAGAGGTAAAATCGCCTCGTTTCATTTTATCTTTATTTTTTGTGCCTATTTTTATTCTCTGCAATATGAAAAGCACAATTTAAACTTATTTATTTGTGAATTATGTAGGGCTCGAAGCTTGCTAGACTGCCTTGCCCGGATAATATTTTAGAAGTTCTATTAATTAATTGTAGGGACATTTTCCTTATGTTTCTAATCTTAACTGAATTACAATATATGTATTTTGTGCTTATTTGAAAATTTATATGTTGTGTGCAGTTCCTCGAGGTGCCCTTTACGGCTGTGGCGATTTGATATTTTCATCTCACATGATATTCTCCCTAGTTTTTATGCGAACTTACCACAAATATGGAACGGAAAGGTGATATTATAGTTTTGGTTCAAGAAAATAAAAAATAAAGAAAAAAACTACTTTTTTCTTGATTCTTGTTTTATTCGATCTCGAGTGGCAGATTTGTGAAGCATTTTGGTTGGTTAATTGTTGTGATTCAAAGCTTGTCGATTATTGCATCTCGCAAGCACTACACAGTTGATATTATCGTGGCATGGTAACTAAATTGTGTGCGTGTATATATTTTCTGCACATTTTGAACTTGCAGCTTCTTGTTTGGATCAACTGGCTAATAATACAATACGTGAAAATTTGCCACAGGTATACGGTTAATTTAGTCGTGTTCTTTGTAGACAAAAAGTTGCGGTAAGGCATTCTATTCCATCTTTTTCTATGGAAGTTCTCCATTTGAATTTTTTTTTTCTTCCTATTATTATTTTCTTGAATATGAATTTCTCGACTCGCGTTTTTCGCCAGAATTGCCTGATCGTTCGAATGGAGCTTTACTGCCGTTGAGCAATAACAAGAATACGGAAGAAAATCACAAACTCTTGAATGGAAATCCTGGGGATTTGCCTGATTGGGTATATAATATATATACTTTGATAATAACCTCGATCGATTTGTATGTGAAATAAAATACGAACCTAAAGTAGAAAAGGAAATATAATTCGATAGCCTTACAACAGTGGAATGAAATGCATGTTTTCTTTAATGTTTTCTATTTCGGTTTCGTGACCAGAAATCGAGGACTCAAATAAACGGCAAGATCATGGAAGGAGAGGCAGCTAACACATAACGGCGTATATAATTTTGGAAGGATGCTCGACTCGAATGCTCTTGGTGTTGAATTTGAACCGAAACCCAGCTCGGTTTTAGGAAAACTATCGAGACTAAAACCGGTAAAAAGCAAAATTGTGTGCTTGAAGTATGATGAGCAGATGAAGTCCTGGTGTTGTGCTTTCCAATGTTTTGCAGTTCATACATATAATATATTTTGTTACAACGAAATAAAAAATGAAACTTCTTTTATATACAATCCATACATAAATTATCGACTTTATTAGTCCTTATTAATCACTTTTACAAGTAATAAACATGGGCCCGCCGGTAATTCAACTCATAATAAGCCCAATCATAATTATTAACACGCACATTAAGATCCATTATGGCTCTGTCCCAAGGCCCAGAAGAAGCATGGTGCTTATCCTCAATTGCTCAAATTATTTTATATAAATTAATAGGCAAAGATATATATACCTTACAGAGAGAATAATTAATACTACCTCCTATTTTTAATATATGTCGTTTTGAGAATTGCACACTAATTAAGAATATTTTTTTTGTCAATAATAATCTTATTTAATGAAGATATAGATGAATGTTTTGAGAAAAAGTAAAAAATGAATATGAAAAGACGTAATGTATTTATTGGCTAAATGAGGGTAATAATGGAAAAATATGTACAAAATATCCAAAACGACATTTATTTGGCAAATAGTAGAAAAAGCTAGAATGACATTTAAAAAAAATAGGAGGGAGTATGAATTAGTGACGGTAAAACTGTTTTTTTTTTTTTTTTCAACAATATAGTTTTATTAATACTGTTGTTTTTTTTTCAACAATATAGTTTTATTTTCTCTTGAAATTATATTAATACTTTCCAATAATGATTATCTACCCACGATGGACACATGTTTAATATGCCCACTGCTTATGTGACATGTTGATGTATTTTTTGGAACATATTAACATCACTAATATCTGCATGCCACAAAACCGATGGACATATTAACATGTGCCCCGAAATAAAATTAGTATTTATTTATTATGAAGTACAAGTTTCTTTCTTTTTAATGTTTTCGTGGTTTTTTTTTTTTACGGTAAAAGTACAGTTAAGAAGATTTTTGACCTTGACCAAAACCAAAAAGTTCAAAGTATTTTTTTTTTCTCTTTTAAATTATAAAAAACAAAACTTTTAGGTCACACACCAAAATGGGAAATAATTTTTTATTTTGATTTCAAATTAAAGTGACAAAATGCTCATAAAGTTATACTTTATTTTACACGGATATATAATCATGAGTGCAATTTAATTATATTTGCATTTTTCATTTTTATGTCATTTTTTTTTTAAAAATAATCATTACTTTCTGATCCTTTAATTCCATATCTCTCCTCTTATGATGGCAAACCATGCCAAAAACCCATAGTTCTATTTTTTTTGGTCTAGTTGGAGAAAGTGTCACATGGTATGTCTTCATGAGGGAAAGAGTGATTTCCCATATGAAACATCATCTCACAAATCTGCATTGTGGTAGAAAATTTTCATGTCTCATTTCATAAGTCGAGTCATCCGATGACTCCATAATAAAACCGATTAATGCATACCCATTTTGAAAATTTTCATTTTTCTTAAAATATCACATTTCACTTCTTAGTTTCAAAATTTTGTTTTGTGGGCATTGCATTTTTATTATCAGATTTTTTGTCGTTTGATCAATATATATATATATATATATATATGTGTGTGTGTGTGTCTGTGTGTGAATTCGTGTGATCGAATTTGAGCTCAAGTTTAGTTCATTAACAAGCCGACATATGATAAAAAGTTAAATTTTACGTAAAAATTCTTATTTATTAAGCATATCGAGCCAAGTGAGCGATTAGTTTTGTTTAACAACTCAGATATATAATGGAGCCTTCAAAGTTCAAACCTTTTGAACCAAAGCTGGAATTTTTCCAATTGTTAAAACTACTTTTTGTTCGTTTTTGTTGGAAAGTTAGACTGTACACAGACAAGCTGGCATTGTCTTCATTCTTGTACTGAATATATGAATCATTTTCTTAACACTCAATTCTGATTCTAACTTCAAAAGCAATACCAATAATACATTATACACCCCCATTGGTTAAGGTTCAGATTTAACATTCAATAAAACAAGAAATAATGCCAACAAATGGAGAGAAAATGATGCACAAAATAAAGAAACAATGATGAGGAAGTTGAAAAGACTGCAAAAAGCAGAAAAAAAAGCATAAAAAAAAAACACAAAAAAGGGTGAAACTTTTTACACACAGACACACATTGGAGCACACACACAGACACAGTTCACCAAAGTGAAAACACACCAAAAAAATCACACATAGTGTACTGTGCAGTACCCCATTCACACACCCCCCATGCTCACAGTTCATGCCCCTGAAATGTGAAACCTCAAAAATTTGAAAAAAGATTTGATTTTTTTTTTTTTTTTTCTCAGTATAACAATTAGTACCCATTCACACACACCCCCCCATCCAAATCTTGATTCTTGAGTGCTGTTACAAGAACAAGAGGGATTCTACTCATTTTTTTTGTCTCCTTTAAAGGGTTCTTAAATTCTTCTAAACTTTCAAAAAATGGGTGCGAGTTCTTCCAAGTATTGCTGTTGTTGGTGGCATTCTAATCTCAAACCCTCACCTCGTGAGCCTTGTGAAAAGGGTGAGTTTTTGGTTTTATCTGTTTTGAAGATTTGGATCGGTTTTATGTTTTGTGGGTATGCATAAAGATGTAATCTTTGGGTTCTGTAGAAAATGAGGAGAAAAATTCATGGCCGGGCTTTAGAGAGTTTAGTTGGGACGAGTTAAAAGCTGCAACAAATGGGTTTTGTTCAGACAACATAGTTTCAGAGCATGGTGAGAAAGCTCCTAATATTGTTTACAAAGGTTTGCTTGAAGATGAACGATTGATTGCTGTTAAGCGCTTCAATAGATCTGCTTGGCCTGATTGTCGCCAATTCCTGGTAACTAATATACTTTTTTTTTTGGGTTAATTTTTTTTTCCTTTTTTTTTTGTTACTTTCTTTAAAATTTGTAAATGTTTTTGGGTGAAGGATGAGGCCAAGGCAGTGGGTAACCTGAGGAGTGAGCGGCTGGCGAATCTGATTGGCTGTTGCTTTGAAGGAGAAGAGAGACTGCTTGTATCAGAATTTATGCCAAATGAGACTCTGGCTAAGCATTTATTTCATTGTGAGTCTCATGATATCACTTCCTTGATGTGTGTGTGTGTGTGTGTGTGTGTTTGTGTATGTGTGTGTGTGTGAATCAATGTTAAAAAACTCCTGAAGGATCAATGTTGCCTATTACTGTAATTTTGTGAAAATCTCCTATATCCTCGAAATTTTATCGATACTAGAGTAAGTTGCTATGAAAAGATCCAATGGCCTTTACTAAAACTTTGTGTGTGTGTGTGTGTGTGTGTGCTGATTTTTAATAGGGGAAAAGCAACCGATGAAATGGGCAATGAGGTTAAGGGTGGCATTGTATTTGGCCCAAGCTCTCGATTATTGCAACAGTAAAGGGCGAGCATTGTATCATGATCTTAATGCATACAGAGTCTTGTTTGATCAGGTGAGCTGAAATATATTTTCACTTCGGTATCGAGTATGAGAATTATATTAAATGGTCTTATAAAGGTATTGCTCGTTAATAGGATGGTAACCCGAGGCTTTCTTGCTTTGGTCTGATGAAGAACAGTCGAGATGGCAAAAGTTACAGCACAAACTTAGCTTTCACGCCCCCGGAGTACTTGAGAACAGGTATAAATGCATATAATCAGATCGTAATGTGAATAATTTACTAAAGTTAGAATGTTTTTGAAGTGGTAACTGATTTTAAAGACTCCCCATAAGCTTCTTGTGCATGTTATTGCACACTTGCACATCATTCTTTAGTTTCATTAGCATATATATATATGATCTAGCATATATATGTATGATCAATGCGTCTTATAGTATGTTTATGTGTGTGTGTGTGTAGGAAGAGTGACTTCGGAAAGTGTAGTCTACAGCTTCGGGACCTTATTGCTCGATCTCTTGAGTGGCAAGCATATACCTCCGAGCCATGTATGTCTTTATCTTGATTTAATATTGAATATGTATTTTATTCTTCTAATAAAGTATTATGTTTTTTTATCAACACGATTGCTCTGTATTTCGTCTCGTGTTTTCATTTTCGACTTTTAAAACAATATATTAGCAAAGCATCTTGAGGTTGTTATTAAATAACACAAAATATATTATGCTCCATGACTTGAATTTATTTGCCAAAAGGGAATTTGAATTTCCATGTCTCGTTTATAGGCGCTCGATTTAATCAGGGGAAAGAACTTTCTAATGCTCATCGATTCTTGCTTGGAGGGCCATTTTTCGAACGATGATGGAACTGAATTGGTTAGGTTAGCGACCCGTTGCTTGCAGTATGAGGCCCGGGAAAGGCCCAACACCAAATCGCTCGTCACATCTCTCGTTTTTCTTCAGAAAGAAACCGATGTATATAAAAACTTCTACTTTTTCTCTACTGGGGATTTGTAACGATGATGATGATCTTTTATTTACAAAAATCAGGTCCCTTCTTATGTTTTGCTCGGTGTTGAACAAGGAAATGCAAACAGTACACAACCGATACCTTTGACTCCCTTGGGAGAAGCTTGCTTGAGAATGGATCTTACTGCCATACACGAGATACTGGACAAAAATGGATACAAAGACGATGAGGGAATTGCCAACGAGGTTGAATTTTCTTGCTTTTTTTTTTTCGTTTGAAAAATCGTCCAATGAAGTTAGTACTTCGATTTAAGTTGAACTCATGAGCTTGTTCAATTTTTCTCTGTAGCTATCTTTTCAACTGTGGACAAATCAGATGCAGGAGACTTTGAATTCCAAGAAGCAAGGAGATTCTGCTTTTCGAGCCAAGGATTTTACGACAGCCATTGATTGCTACACGCAGGTATTTATAAACAAGCACGATCTTAATACCTGCATATTGTTCGACTAAAATTGGATTTTTGTGTTGCTTTATATATAGTTCATCGATGGTGGGACAATGGTTTCGCCAACTGCTCATGCTCGGCGTTGCTTGTGTTATCTGATGAGCGACATGCCAAACAAGGCCTTAGAGGACGCCACACAAGCGCTTGTAATCTCGCCCGAGTGGCCAACTGCTTTTCATCTCCTGGCGGCTTGCCACTTCGCGCTCGGAATGGAAAGTGATGCTCAACAAGCACTCAGAGAGGCCACTGATTTGGAAGCCAAAAGAAACAGAAAATGAAGAAAAAATAAGAGAACTTTATGATGCGTGTATAGACTTCGATGCTCTCATTAGTTAATTCGATCGTTATTTTAAACAGGGAGCTTATAAGCTAACCGAATAAGCTATAAGCTAGCTTATTTGGCTTACCAAACATAGGCTTAATGTATTTAGTCGTTGCGTCGAAGAACACTGGAAGATCGTTTGTTTCAAAAAAAAAAAA